TCAAGCAGGATAACCTATACCATCTCAGACAGGTCCAATCTCTTCTTAAAAACCTCCAGTGATGGAGCACCCACAACCTCTGGAGGCAAGCTGTTCCACTGGTTGATTGTCCTCACTGTCAGGAAGTTTCTCCTTGATTCCAGGTTGCTTCTCTCCTTGATCAGCTTCTAACCATTGTTTCTCGTCCTTCCCTCTGGTGCTTTGGTCAACAACCTGGCCCCCTCTTCCTTGTGGCAGCCCCTCAGATACTGGAACACTGCTATCATGTCTCCCCTATTTCTTCTTTTCTTTAGGCAGGATGAACAATTTAGGGAGCGAGATATGTCTAGCCTATTAAAGAGAAGGCTTAGGAGGACATGATCATCGTCTTCAAGTACTTGAGGAAGGGGTCAGGTTATTCTCCAAAGCCCCTGAGGGCAGGACAAGAACTAAAAGTCGAAAGATCGTTAAAGAGACAGCGAGAACAATTAATCAGTATGGAGCGGTTCTTCTACCGCTTCACCTGATGATCACGAGGCTGGGATAGGAAATTGAGGGGAGGAGATCAGGGGGAAGGAGATGGGTGTGTCCGGCTATAAGAGCAGAGCTTTCCCGGTCCTGAAAAACAAATTGGGGTTGAGTTGCTGTAGCTGCTTGGTAAGTGGGAAAGGAGGGGAAGAGATCTCTGGTAAGCAGACGAAATGGCGAGCATGCTGGATTTCAGTGACTTTGGTCTTTATTTAACAGGATGACAAAGTTGGAAGGGACCTTGGAGGTCTTCTAGTCCAACCCCCCTGCTCAAGCAGGAGACCCTACACCATTTCAGCCAAATGGCTGTCCAATCTCTTCTTTAAAAAAACTCCCAGTGTTGTAGTACCCACAACCTCTGAAGGCAAGCCTTTCCACCAATTAATTGTTCTCACTTTCAGGAAGTTTCTCCTTAGTTCTAGGTTGCTTCTCTCCTTTATTTATTTATTTATTTCATTTATACCTTGATAAGTTTCCATCTGTTACTTCTCGTCCTGCCTTCAGGCGCTTTGGAGAATAGCTTGACTCCCTCTTCTTTGGGGCAGCCCCTGAGATACTGGAACATGGCTATCATGTCTCCCCTAATCCTTCTTTTCCCTAGACTAGACAATTCCTGCAACTGTTCTTCATACGTTTTAGCCTCTGGCCCCCTTTGTTGCTCTGCTCAGCACTCTTTCCAGAGTCTCACCATATTTGCACCATAAGCTTATCTATGTTAAGGATAGGAACATTTGCCCAAGTGCCGAGCAGGTAGGCCTCCTTCTTTATTTAGCCATTTGGGCAGTATTTTGCTTTTCCTCCAAAGACTGGAAAGGTATTGTGACTGTAGCATTCTGGCCTCCAGTTTTATTCCTGCAATTGCCTGCTACTCAGCTACTGGGCTGAGAAAGAGGGACTGGTCCAAACCCACCAAGGAAATGTGCACAAAGTAGGCGAATTTGGGGATGGGGGGAGGCCCTAACTCCATGGGTGAAGAGGATGGAAAAGTCAAGATGGCAGCTGCAGCCACACAACAGAAACTCCGCCCTTCTTCCATGGGTTGCAGTGCCTATAAAAATGGGTGGGGTTTTTAATTGAATGGGAAAGTTTTGAGTGTTAGTTTGGGGAGGGAGGGGACTGAGTGAGTTGGGGAATACATTGCATTTACTTCGTTTATGATTCAGTTCGAACAATTAAGTACAATTAACACGTTATCTGGCTATGAATGAACGTATCATAATTTTGGATCTTGTGATAGCAAGTGTTGATAAGTTTGGGTTTCTTTGTGGGCCAGCTGTTTTCTTTCCCCTTGCTACAAGACCTGGCTCTAACCACGGTTTTGTTCTAACCATGGTTTGTTCCATTGGCTTTAAACACAGCTTGTTACAAAGCCAAACAAAAGGCTGCTTTGGCTTTGCTTTGGCGTGGTTTGTGAAGCCAGGTTTTACTCCGAGTGTTGTGGGACTCCTGCTAGCTGTAGAACACGTTAGCAGTAGCTCCCACTTCCAAGACATTCTCTTAGCATATTGTGTGAACCCTAACATGGTTTATTGTACATAGTATGTTATGTGAACTTCGCTCTTTTGGTTTGTCGACTTAGCAAAAAGCATGATGTAGAACCTCGACTAATTTTATTAGTAATCTGATTTGTATAGTTCCCCTACCCCCAAGTCTCACTATCATGGCTCTGGGTGGCTAATTAAAAACTCTAAATAACCACATAAAACTGGTGTGAACTGAATAGCTGGTTCCCATAAGGACCAGAAACTTGGTTTAATTTATTTAGTCAATTTTAGTCCACTGCAGCCGATCCCATCTGGATGGGCTACAATTGGTTTTTTGCAACACTGTGCCCACAGTAGAATCAAACTGCTTAAAAATTAAATTTGTATCCCAAAGGCCTGTGTTTGAACAAAACAAAAGCAATGACAAATAAATAAGATGATTGCATTCAATCTCTTAAATAGTTTTTTTTCCTTAAGGGTTTCTTACAATCTAGCAAGGTAGAGTTAAGTCATAAGAGCTGAGGTTCAGAATTCCTGGGACAGCAGCTCGGCTGCTTCAGAGTCAGTTAACTGAGAATGCTGGCCTGTGATTGTTGGAGTGACAACGTCTGGTTAAAGGTGAGGAGTCCAGAGTTCATGGCAAGCTGGCCAGCAGGAAGGAAAAGGCTCACATCTTGGGTGTTGCTGAGAAACAAAATCAAGTTGTTTATTGTGACATCCATAATATTAAATATCTCTTGTTGTGCTTTTTTCTTACAAACTGTGTCGGTTTAGCAAACTGAGCCTGCAACAGCTGCAAAATAGGCCATTTTGTCTAGTACTTCTTCACAGGAGGGTGGAGAGGTGTGGGAGGGTATGCACAGAAAACTAACTCTGGGGGGGGGCAGAAACCATTTGGTCTAGTGGTAAAGGGACCAGGTTGGAAACTGGGAGACGGTGAGTTCTAGTCCTGCCTTAGGCATGAAAGCTAGCTGGGTGACTTTGGGCCAGTCACCAGGAGACGGTGAGTTCTAGTCCTACCTTAGCCTGAAAGCCAGCTGGGCGACCTTGGGTCAGTCATTCTTAGCCTAACCCCCCTCCCAGAATTGTTGTTATGGGGAAAACAGGAGGAGTAAGGTATATTGAATATATTTGCCACCTTGAGTTATTTGTAAAAATAATAAAGGTGGGATGCAAGCAAATTTAGTCTAATCTTCTCCCCTAAAATCATTGGGCAAATGCCATTTTTATATGAAAGAGCACCGAACTATGATACTCATGAGAAAATAATTGCTGTGGCTGCATTTTGGGGAGATCTTAAATCCACGTTTAGGTTCAGAGACTGTACTAAACCAGGATGTGTCTGCTCTGGACCACCATGTATGGTGTGAACAGTGGCTTGTTCAGTAAACTATAATTAGCAAACCGTTGATTTGGAAGTTGAAGTCACCCATCCACCCACGGGTGAGAAAGACTGCATTAAACTGTGTTCAATCCCCAGATAAAACATGGTTAACTGGGCACAGGAGATGGGTGAAATCATGGCCTTTGTTTCTGGGGTCACAGCATTGGTAAAGCCGGGGAGCTGCTCACCCCCACTTCAACTACTAAGAGAACAGTCTACAAAAACAGATGCCAATTGAATCAAACCTTTAGGATTGGCATCCAAGCTTTTGGGGCAGTCCGTGAATGTTTCTGTTTCTGCCTCGCCTCTTGGGCAGTGGTGTGAAAAAAAACTCTCCTTTGTCCCAATTGCCCAAGAGCCTCTGAGCGTCCACAGACCTCACCCCGCCTGACGCAACAGCCTGGCGAGGTTGGCACTTTTCCTAACCCTTGTGGTTACTGGTCCCTCCCTCCCTTCCCTGTCCAAAGGGCGGCCGAGGGCTGGGCTCCTATAAAGCTGGAGACACGTTAGCCGGAGCGGAAGAGAAATCAGGATTAGCTGATCAGCTGGAAAGGCAAGTCTGGAGGGTTTTGTTTTTTGTTTTGCAAGGGGGAGGGAAAAGTTTGAGGTGGGGGTCTTGATGGGGAGGGAGGAAAGAGGGATGTGGAGAAAGGAAGGGGCTCCTTCCAACTGTTGGGCAAGTAAACTCATCTTGGATAGCCTATTGAAGAGAAGGATTAGGGAAGAGATGATAGCTGTCTTATTGTATTGGAGGGGCTGTCACAGAGAAGAGGGGGGGTCTCTTATTCTCCAAAGACCCTGAAGGCAAGAGGACAAGAAGCAACGGATGCTTCTTTCCTAACAAACAGGAATCTCCTGACACTGAGAACAATTTATCCAGTGGAACTGCTTGCCTAAAGAAGTTTTTAAGAAGAGACTAGATAGGCATTTGTCTGGAATGGTATGAGAAGGTCTCCTGATTGAGCAGAGGGCTGGACTAGATAGAAGACCTCCAAGGTCCCTTCCAATCCTATGATTCCGGGTTCTACGCTTTGAGCATTATCACAGGAGGGAGATCTTGAAAAAAAACCACACCCATTTCCCCCAGAAATATGATAACAGTCTTCCAAGAAGGAGGAGATTGATGTTGGCACGGCAAGTCTCACTCCACTGCTTTTAGCCCAATCACTTTTCTTTTTATTTTGATCAGAGACCTGTAGTTTTCTCTTTTTTTCAGATCTGTCCTTTCTTCCTGCAAAATCCCAACTGCTGGGGTTCTCCTGCCTCCCTCTTGGGACCAGGCCAGTTTCTCTTAGCCACAAAAAATGGAGATGACAATGCCCAACCTCCTTAGGCGTAGACTCCGCTTTTTAATAGAAAAAGAGGGTTAGATAAAGCAGTTTTTGCTTGTTTGCTCACGCCAGTCAAGGAGCAGGGAAGTATTTTGGGAAAAACCCAAAAAAGGAAAGAAAGGAGGAGGAAAGGAAGCAAAGAAAGCAAAGTAAAAGTATAAAATCGATCATCTCCAGGCCTTCTGTTTATCTAGCTACCCCATCCATCAAGATGTCCCTTTCTCAAACCAGAAATAAATTCAGAAAACGACACGCCTTAACCCAGTTCTCTCTTCCCCTAGAGCCTGAATCCTATTCCCTGCAGCCTGATGGATTATGCAAAGAAATACTTGGATCTTCTCAGCCCACAATCACTTTCCAGGTAAGTCACGACCGATAAGCAGCAATGAAAGCCTCCACCCCATCCCCCCCCGTCTTGAATTACAGGTAAATCCTTGACTTAACAACCATTCATTTAATTGACCGTTCAAGGTTACAACGGCAGTGAAAAAAGTGACCCGTGACCATTTTGCAGTCACGTGATTAAACTTCAGATGCTTGGCAACTGACATGTACTTAGGACGGTTGCCAGTATCCCGGGGTCACGTGATCCATCTCAGCGAACTTCTGACTAGCAAAGTCACGGATACGAAAGCTCTCGGCCAGGAGGGAAATAGGGAAAGACGGGAGAGGAGTGAAGATGGTTCAAACCTGGCTGGCCAAGAGGAGGGGGGGCGTTTTTATCCTTTCCCCCTCCCTCAACTGACCTTTCCTCTTCTTCCAGATGTGTCTCAGCCAGTGCTTCCGCGACCCAGCAGCTGCTGAGCGGCCCCGCTGCCCGTCCCAGGCCATACCGCGTGAGCAATTGCGAGCGCACCCTGCGCAAAGGCATCATGGCGGAGAGTCTGAACGACCTGCTTGAGAAAGTAAGTGGTGAATGCAGAAAAGAAAAGAAAATAAACTCCTGGGACAGTGTTTTTTTTACCAAGAGTATCACTTTACTGATAGTTCCACATAGGCACAGAAGTAGCAAAGCCAGTTCTGAAGTTTTTGCGCACATAACAGCATAAGTAAAAATCGTCTTTTCCCCTTCTGGGCCACCCACTGTCCATTGTCCACCAATCAATTACATTCATTTTGTTTTTGGGGAAACGGCCTGAGCGCTTTGGAGCTTTCCCCTCGTTTGATCTTGGGGTCCAGGGACGCTTCCAGGCTACAGTCGGTTCACTTACATTCCACAATGACCCAACTAGGTAACATCATCAGCGCTAGAAGGGAGAGGAGGAGGAGGAGGAGGAGGAGGAGGAGGAGGAGGAGGAGGAGAAGAAGGAGGGGAGGGAGGGAGGGAGGGATTATGGGGTCCTTGGTGTTCTCTGAACTTGGTGGCTGTCTTGCAGACATTTCATTACCCAACTAGGTAACATCATCAGTGCTAAATCTTTCAAAATCCATCTCAGTTGTTTTTTTTTTGATGGAGGCCAATGGGCCCTGGGTGAAGTACTGGGTGATCTTCTCATCACTTCATCCAAAGAAAAACTATTAGTGTCAAAGCTTCCTTTCTAAGCCAGCTTGCTCAAGAGATGCTCCCTTGTTAATGAACCCTGATTCCTAGGCTGTCTGGAACTGCAGGGTATCCAATCTAATTTATTGCCGCAGGTACAAACTGCTCTGGACTTAGTGGGGTCCATCAGCGTTGTCTTGGATGAAGATGGCACCAGCATAGAATCGGAGGCGTTCTTCCAAACTCTAGAAGAAGGAATGGTATTGCTGGCCTTAACTGAGGGACAGGTGTGGCGTCCAGCCAAGGTGAGGAGCCAAATTTAAGACTTAAGCCAATAAAATGTGTTAATCTTCATTTCAAGGACATGCTATTGTCTGGTTGGGTTAGAAATGTGGGCATCTGCTTCCTTCCCGGGAAGGAAGATCAAAGGATCTTTGATTAAGTTGGAAGCACTCGTCTGTTGGGTTTAACCATGGTTTCTTGAATAAGCCACCACTGGCTTGGCTTCTTCCCAGGGATGGTCATCTACAGCTAAGTTGGAAGCACTCATCTGTTGAGTTTAACCATGGCTTCTTGAGTAAGCCACCATTGGCTAGGTAAAGAAGGACAGCCACAAGATGGAAGTGGCTCACTAGGAAAACATTGTCCGTTGGAATGGGCGTTTCCAGAAATCAGAAGGTTTATTTTTAATTTATTGATTTGGTAACTGTATATGACTGCCCATCTCAGATGCCTGGGAAACAGTTCAGTCTCTTCTGCATACGTCACAAATGAGTTAACTGAGTACCTGGGTTGTGTGAACCTAGCCTAGGATGCTAATGCTAGGTTGCTCAGCCCTTGTGAGGCAAAGGATGGCCATCCAGAATTCTGTCTGAAAAGCGAAAAAGCCCTCTCTCCCTCCCAGTTTTATGGAAATGAAACATTTGAAAGTTGATTTTAAATGCTAGAGCGTTTTATTATTCTGCTTGTAAAGCTTCCTGTGATCACGGAAGAAAAGGGCAGTTTAAATAAGTATCATCACGATAAAGGCAATTCCCAGCAAACCGTATTAGAGAAAGGAAATGGAACACGTAAGTGCTGAAATTGATAACTCTCAGGGTTACGTTTGAAATGCTTGGGTGAAGAGAAAGGGAGAAAAACAGATTTTTCTCGCTTGGCTATAAATGCCGGTCATGAATGGATTGCTCTTTAATCACGAGGACTAGAATCCTGAAAAGCAAAAGCTACCGCAATATGTAGCCTTCGCTGGAAAGGAGGCTGTGCAAAATGTGGATGCAGAGACTCTGTTCAATAGTGATAATTACACAATACAGGATAACCGATTTGGAAGGGACCTTAGAGGTCTTCTAGTCCAACCCCCTGCTCAAGCAAGAGATCCTATACCATTCTGCACAAATGACTATCCAATCTCTTCTTTAAAAGCTCCAGTGATGGAGCACCCACAACCTCTGAAGGTAGGCTGTTCCACTGGTTAATTGTCCTCACTGTCAGGAAGTTTCTCCTTAATTCCAGGTTGCTTCTCACCTTGATTAGTTTCCATCCGTTGCTTCTTGTCCTGCCTTCTGCTGCTTTGGAGAATAGACTGAACCCCCTCTTCTCTATGGCAGCACCTCAAGTATTGGAAGACTGCTATCATGTCGCCCCAATCCTTCTCTTCATTAAACTCTCACAGGGATGCTTTTCCATTTTTTTTGTCCCCAGAAAGCCGGCTACCAGCTATCTCTGTCCAGCAAGCCTCGACGTCGGATTGACGTGGCCTGCATCACATTTGATCTGTACAAGACGAAGCCCCAGGACTTCTTTGGCTCTTTGAACGTCAAGGCCACTCTTTATGGGACCTACAGCATGTCCTACGATATGCAGTGCTATGGGGCCAAGAGGATGATGAAGTACGTCATTTTGCTTCCCTTTAGGATTCCTCCATAATTTGCTTACCAGTGTCTCACGTTTTATTATGATTTATTGTTTTATTATTCTAATGCGTACGAGTTTGAATGTTTCTCACCTCTGATGAGATGGGGGGGGCACATGAAAGAAAGAAAGAAAGAAAGAAAGAAAGAAAGAAAGAAAGAAAGAAAAAGAAAGAAAGAAAGTGGATCTTTTTGCACAGAGCAAAAAAAGTTTTAAATAATAAGAGACGAAATGTGTTAGCTCAGAGTTCAAAGAAAACCTCAAAACGATGATTGTAAACCGTCTAGGTGGCCTTGGTGCTCCCTGACCATCTCTCTCTCTCTCTCTCTCTCCAATTTCTCCTGTTTTTCTCAGAGAAGCTCTGCGCTGGACCCTCTTCACCATGCAAGCCACGGGCCACGTCCTGCTGGGCACTTCCTGTTACATGCAGCAATTGCTGGATGCCCCGGAAGAACAGAAGGAAGAAATTTTGCCGTCCTTGTGTCGTCCTTCTATCGCTCTCCCCTCCTCTCTCACCCGGAGAATGTTGCAATGAATTTGCGGGGGAGGAGATATTTTCTGCCCTACTGCTGCTACGGACTCCGAGCCCCAGGGGTGTTGACATCCTACACGTAAGGCACCCTCCAAGATCATGGAGGCAGGGACGGGCACTTCTCTGCACCTGCTGGAGTGGAAAAGCACAGCCAACGTCAAAACATTTTGACTCTTGTCTCACAATTCTAGGCACTCACTGTTTCTTGTAAGTTATCATGTGTGTTGCTTCTTGTCCAGCTTGGCAGCCAGAATTGGTGCAGAAAAAGGCCAAGGTTTCACCTTTCCTTATTTATATATAGATAGCTAGATAGATATTCCAACATGTATAGATAACTGCACAGCCAGCATGATGCCACGTTGACTTGTATTACACTGTAAATATGTGAATTAAAAAGCAACCTTTTCTTAAACCGTGATGGGCTCTCTCTCTCTCTCTCTCTCTCTCTCTCTCTCTCTCTCTCTCTCCTTTCTCCTGCCTTGTTCTCAAACGGGTAGTTTAATAGAAAATACATTTGCAGACCCTCAGTTGCTTCCTAGAACTGAAAAAAAAAAAAAAACAGATCTGGGTGTATGTGGCAATACATGAAAGGTAGTCCTTGATTTATGGCCAAAAATGAGCTCAAAATTTCAGTTGCTAATCAACACAGTTGTTATGGGAATTTTGCCCTATGTTACGACCTTACTTGTCGCAGTTGTTAAGTGAATTGCTGAGGTTGTTAAGTGAGCAACCTGGTTGTTAAGTGAATCTGGCTTCCCCCACTGACTTTGCTCGTCAGATGGTCGCAAAAGGGGATCATGTGACCCCGGGACACCGCAAAGGTCATAAATACGAGCCAGTTGCCAAACGTCTGAATTTTGATCATACGACCACAGGGATGCTGCAATGGCCAAAGAGTATGAAAAATGGTCATAAGTCCCTTTTGAATGGTCACTAAATGAATAATCAGTTGTAAGTCAAGGACTACCTATATACTATCATTCTGGTCCCCTTAATCGCTTTATTTTCGTGAATATTTTTTGATGAAAGGAAGATTTTACAAAGGTTTTAAAAACCACAGAAGGAGAGAAGAAGAAAGAAGAAAGGAGATTCTAAAAAGTCAATAATAATAATAATAAAAGCTATCCGCACACAGAGCAGTTACCCTCTTCCCCCTCCCGTCTGGCCTATCATCGTTCCCTTCTTCCCATCAACGGCCCCTTTTCATCACGACATTCCGAAATGGCTTCATTTTTATCCATTTCCAGCAAAAAGTCTGCAAAGGGTTTCCCGGTCGTTTAAAAAAAAAAAAATTGTAGTTCTCTCCTTAATCAAAGAAGTCCATTGAGCCGTTTCTGCAAACTCAGCCAGCTTCACGATCCATTCCTCCATTTATTGGTCTTTCTGCAGTGCTCCATCGTTGTGCATATAATAGCCTCGCACACTTCCCATATATAAAACCAATTCTCTGTCAGCCTTTTGCATTTGAGTGTCCATCAGTCCTAATAAGAAAAGTTCTGGTTTCATCTGAAGATTTGTTTTCAAAACTCTCCACATCACCGTATGTATTTGTGCCCAGTACCTTTTCGGTTTTTCAGATCACCGTGCGCAATAAAATATCCCTTTATATTTTTCACATTGCCAACCTTTAGACATCTTAGACCTTGTCTCCGGTGTCATATTTCCATAGAATTATAGGGCTGGAAGGGACCTTGGAGGTCTTCTAGTCCAACCCCCAGCTCAATACCATTTCAGACAAATGGTTGTCCAGTCTCTTCTTGAAAACCTCCAGTGATGGAGAACCCACAACTTCCAGAGGCAAGCCGTTCCACTGGTTAATTGTTCTCACTGTTAGGAAGTGTCTCCTTAGTTCTAGGTTGCTTCTCTCTTTAACACTTCAGATTGTACCTCAGCCATTTCCAACGCCATGTAATCCAAGAAAATCAAAGTCACGAGAACTAGAAACTTTAAAAAGCAACCAGCACTGCCCTGCTATGCAAAATACCCGCTAAAATTCGCTGCACAGCAAATCCTCAACTTTCTCCCCCCCCTTTTGCAATAGAATCTATTTGTAGACCTCTGGCTCTCTTGCAATATTAAAAAGCCGTGGCCATTACGAGATAGTTGAAGATTCTCCAGGGGCTAGTTAAGGAACTTAAATGGCCTGAGCCATATGAAAAGCAGGGAAGTTTAATAAGGCCGTTTTCATGGCCAAGTCCTGTAGCTTCGGAGGTCAGGAAGCATCTGCATTCATTTTTTTGTTTTTTTTTTAAGGGGGAGGGGTTTAAGAGAAGATGTTTAGGAGCCAGGCAGGGAATCCATAACTGTTGCTTCCTGCAAGGGGGAAGACCAGTGGTGGGATTCAAATAAGTGAACAACCGGTTCTCTGTGTGGATGCCACTTCCGGAAGTCTGTCTGTGTGTCTGTGTGTCTGTGTGTCTGTGTGTCTGTCTGTCTCTCTAATTATCTATCTATCTATCTATCTATCTATCTATCTATCTATCTATCTATCTATCTATCTATCTATCTATCTATCTATCTATCTATC